ATAGCTATAGAGTTAGAGGAGGAGAGCATCTTGAGGCCTTGTATTAAGGTGTCGCTTGAGAGGGAGGCCACAGAAAGAAGATGAGGGCCCATCTCTATGTATAAGCTATGTATTCTCCATTTCTTTTGCCTTAGTGAAATATTTGATTGATTCCCTCCCGTGGACGTAGATCCAGTTGGATCGAACCACGTAAACGATCTGTGTTTGCTTGTGTTCTTTTTCGTCTCATTTCTATGCCAGGAAGTACATATCTCACAACAATTGGCGCCGTCTGTGGGAAGATCCTTAAGTATTTCTTATTTATGCAAGCAACATAAATTATTAGTAAAAGGATGTTACCTCATGCGGCTTGCTCCCTGAACCAAGTCAAGGTTCATCTTCTCTGATTAAAGTTTTTATGCCTTCTGTATTGCTCCAACTTCGCCTATTCCAAAAGCTGCGGCTCTCTCATTCGGGACCTAGGCATTTCTCTTACATAAGATGTATTGATATTAGTTTAGGTTCTATAGCAAATTGTCTTAATTACCCACCCTTGGTTGTATTTACAAGTGTGCCATGCTCTATTCTTATAAATAAGAAAGGGCTGTTATAATGTATGGTGTGAGAAAATAATAAAGGATTTTCTGCTTCATCTTTCTTCGAACTCTGTTTCTGGCTCTCTTCTGTAGGTGCTCAGAAAAGCGGACTTCAGACGTTATTGGGGATCAAGCCACAATAATGGGTTCCGCCAAATTCGACATCGAGAAATTCAACGGTAATAATGATTTTGGTCTATGGAGAGTAAAATTGAGAGCTCTATTGGTGCAGTAGGGTGTTGCAGAAGCTTTGCAAGGGTCGGCGACATTGCCGGCTGACATGACCGAGAAGGAGAAGATCAGCATACTGGACAAGGCACACAGTTTGATAATACTGAGCTTGGGCGACGGTGTCGAGGGAGACAACGGCTCAAGCGCTTTGGGCCAAACTAGAGGTACTGTACCTGACAATGTCTTTGGCTAATAGACTCTTTCTGAAGCAGCGCCTATACTCCTTCAAAATGCATGAAGACAAATCCGTCTCAGAGCAGATTGACGAGTTCAACAAGATCATCGACGATCTCGAAAACATCGACGTCAAGATGGACGATGAGGACAAGGCACTACTGTTGCTAAACTCTATTCCCAAGAGCTACGAGCATTTCAAGGATGCGATGCTCTATGGAAGGGCACAGACTATTACTCTGGAGGAGGTACAATCTCTTATTAGAGCTAAAGAA